TGCAGTAACACGCGGATCACCTCTGGGGCTCGGGATTGAACTCGAACTAAAGCTGCTGTGGCTTGCTTGTAGTGCTGCACTTTAACCTATTATGCCACCGGGGAAGGCCCGCCCCCTGCCCACTCCACCCTCCCACCCCCAAGTCTGAAGAAAGTTAGTTCTGGGAAAGCAGTAGACGAGTAAAGCCATAGTTGTCGGCAACAGCTCGCATCAGCTCTGATTATAGGACAAAAGCCCAAGCTTTTGTATCTCAACCCACACAGTCAAATCCTAAATAGAATATTCTTGCTGCTTATGAAATTCACAGCTTTAGCCAAATTCTTTCTCAATTATTGCCATTAACCACTGTGGAACTGTTCTGATGCTCAGTTCCCAATATGTGTTATACTTTACCAGGGGGAGGGTCTAATGCTACATACTGTCCATTGCATATTTACTAATCTAAGGATGCTTAGCTGCTGAGTGCAAAAGGTTTCTGCAAGGAACGAATTCCTTCCTACAAATATCTTCCTATCACTGTACTTAAGACATCAGTTATCATTTACCATACTGATATCAGTTACCACTTACCATACTATGTTTCAAGAGGTTATCCTTCTCATGGGATATCATTAACAAAAGAGTAAAGAAAGAAAAAGTATGAAAAATTGGTACATATAACCTAAAGCCAGTGATGAAAATGCTTCCTAGAAGATGAAAAAAAATGAACTACTGAAAGAATTTCCAAGAATTCAAGAAGCTTTGTCAACAGAGAGACCATAAAAAAAGACTGTGCTGATGACCAAAAAGAATGAATGAAAATGAAAAAGTGAAAAAGAACTAGGAGTTTTAAGGTACTGCCTATCTAATCTGAATTCAAAATATTTCCTAGGAAGGAATAAATTAACTAAGTAAATTACCAATTTACCCGAAATCAGGGTTCAGAAACAAGAGAAAATCCCTAAGAAAGAAAAATGTGTGGACTAATCCTTACCATAAATGTGAGGGCCGGTTCTCTCTCTTGATTCTCTAAGTAAAAAAAAACAAACAAAAAATAGGTACACATCTTCCTGAACCTTAAAGCAGCAGTGAAGACTCTACCAAGCAGATGTGAAGAGTGAAGCAAATGTTTTCTTTAAATGTCCATTCCTGACAGAGGAGGGTTAGGTATCTACTAGTAGAGTTTAAGGATGATACAGCCATGTTTAACAAACAATAGAGTTGTGGTTAGCAAGCAGGAGAGGAAATAATGCAATATTATGAAAACCGAGTGTCCAAGTAACTTCTTCATCAATGGGCAAAAATAATCTAAGTAGGAATTCCATGTAAAGCATGTCTCATTTCTCTAACTGGATCAGTTTGCTACAACTGAACACACTATAGTCAGAACATGTGTCCTCCACTTCAACTGTAAACTGTAAGGTAATCTCATTGAATTTCCCCAACCCAATGTTCCTTTTTTGTATTCCTAAGACTCACTGCTACTTCAAGGACCTTTGTGGCTGAATGCGTGACTGTGAAAGCCACCACATGCCTTCTTCCAGCTTCTGTCCAGGGCTAAGCTTTCAGAAGCTCTGAGGACAGCTACAAACACTTCCAGGAAGCAGAATGCCAGGTGAAGGACTTGGGAGGCACACAGCCTGGAGCGCGAGCCCTGGCGCTGGCACCTGCTAGACAGCTTTGACAAAGTTATCTCTCCTGTGTCCCTACTTCATATAGAAGATAAAAATATTTACAGGGTGGGCCCTCCCTGGTGGCACAGCAGGTTAAAGCACAGCACTAAGAAGCTAAAGCCACTTCAGCATGAGTTTGATCCCCACCCTGGAGGAGATCCACATGGCACTAGAGACCTCTCCTGACCCGTCCACTGCTCCCCTCAACGGTGTACTTCATTCAGCTGCCTGTTCTGCTCCCCGCTCTGTCTCTGGCGAATCCTTTCTCTGCACTCTAGCCTGTACCCCAATTCTGCACGCATAAATAAACATTTAAAAAAATTTACAGGGTGGTAATTGAGTATTTATCATTTAGTTCTATTACCAATATTGACACTAAGAATGAAAGGCTTACAAACTGAAACCGGTTACTTGCTTGAAGAAAGAATTAAGTATGAAGGTATTCTGAAATGTTACCCTCGGGAGGTTTAAAGCACCAGAAGCAAAGTAAACCTTGGTTTATTGAGATCTGAGTCCTCTGAGTTCTCACCTCTGAAATTTCTAAATCTTTGCATTCCCTATCTGATAAAAACCTAAACGCTAACTAAGAAACCCAAAGTCTTATTTACCAACATGCTCTTCTAGGGGCAATTTGTGAAGAATGAGAGCACTTGGGAAACAGTACTGAGTTTGCCAATCTGAGCACTGAGAGGAAGGATGGAAAGCATATCAAAAAAGGCAAGGAAGTTAGTGACCCCAGGCACAGCGGGGCACTGGATCTGTAGCAGCATTTTCACCTGTGGCTTGCTGCCCATCGTGCAGTGTCAGAGCAACTTTGTCTCTAAGAAAGACACATTAAAACCAGTTCCTGGGCCCTTCTGGTGACCCAACAGGTTAAAGCACTGCACTAAAGTTGTCCACAGCCAATGCACCACGAGTTCGATCCCTGGCCAGCGAGGTGACCCACATGGTGCAGCAGACCTCTCCTGACCCACCTGCTGCTCCCCTCAGCAGTGTGTTTCGGTGAATCTGCCTGTTCTGCTCCCCACTCTGTCTCTGGTGAATCTTCTTGCTTCCTTGCACCTCTGCCCTATATACATAAATAAACAAATCTCTAAAACAAGTTCCAACATTCAAAAACCTCTTATATCACCACAGATTCAGCAGTAAATAAAAGGGAAAAAAAAAGAATATTTCAAAGGAAAAAAATAGACAACATTTAAGTCAGTAAAACAAACAATTTTTTACAGGGAAGGTAACTTATTCCTTGGGGAAAATGACAGCAAACATGTTAATGTAGCATGGTTTACAAGAAGTAGGAAGGTTCTATTACATCTGGAGTGTTGTAGATAACTGTCAGAATTGGGTAAACATTAAGTACTGATTACTATACCTGACAGAAGAAAAATTTCTCTCCCAGGAAATTCTTAAAATGATTTAAGAAAACTGCTCAAGATTTACTAATTTTCAAGAATACCTTCTCTAGGGTTTTGAAATGGAAAATTGGGAAATTAAAGCAGGGTGCCAATTTAACATCTGAAAATACCAATTAAAATTAAAAGATATTTAAAGACTAGCTAGAAATTTCCTTCATTAAAACAGCAGCAATCTACAGGTTTATTATTACTACATAAACATCAATAGTGTCACTAAAGTGACTAATTTATACTTATGCTTTTCAAATAAAGATACAGAGATTTGAAATTAATTTAGAGGGCATTAAATGAAAAAGCATTAAAAAGGTCAGTTACATTGTTGAAAATAAAAGATGAGGTGAGTGCCTACTTGGATATGTAGTATAGAGAATACTACAAAGCAATTCACAGTGGGGCTATAATGCAAGGAAGAAGGCTGTTATTAGAAAAATCTACCATAATCAATAGTAACAAATGTACAGGATTAAAAAGGATGAGAGCAGGGGAGGAAAAGGGTCCAGTCAGCACACATTTGCAGTGACACTGATAATACAGGTGCAGGCTCAAGAAAGTGATTTACATACTGGAGGTCAACTCAGGGATAATTAGGAAACCATTTGACTTTTTTTTTTTTTGGTCAACTAGTCCTTACTGATACACTAGATATAGCAGAGTAATATAAGTGGTCATTATCACAGTATTTTTTAACTAAAAGGGTGGAAGTCATTCCCTGGGCCGATCTTTTAGTTTAAAAGGTGATCGTTCTCTTAGCGGAAAAGGCCACTTTGCCCTGAATACAGGACAAACAGCACAAGTCTGAATGACTACAATCTTACACTCTAGAGAAACACACATGACAGGGGGCTAACAAGGGCATCTAGCTATCTGTTAGGTTCCTTACTAGAACAAAATGCAGTGAGATTCCATCAGAATAACTTATGGGGGGAAGAAAATAACTACTGCTAAATGTTTACTAGGGGGAAAGGCCAATGCTTCAAAGCTGCACTTACTTTTTACACATTTAGAGTATAATGAACCACTAAATAAACAAAACGGCTAGTAGGAAAAGGAAACTAAATTCTTTGTTATAATTATCATTAAATACATGACAAGATCTTTCAAACTGTGTATCACAGGCAAAATAACTGTGCTCCTATTATAAGACAGCACAAAAACCACGAAAATTAGGAAGTGAAGAAAAAGAGGGCAAAACAAGATGAGCTCTTCTAAAATAAAGGGGAAGATATGAAGAAATAGAAGAATTTTTATTAAAAACAAGGATAAGAAGTCAAGACCCCTAGACGTAGTCCTATGACCTTGGGCAAGTCACCTATTTAGTCTACATATGCTACAGAATAGTGATATTGTATTTCCTGCCCATCCCACAAGGTATCCTTGCAAATCAAATAGGGTTAATACATGTTAGTACACTCTGAAAATTACAAAACATAATACTATTATGATAATGGCATTATTGCCACTCAACTTAAAATTACTTGCTTCAGGGCCCTCCCTGGCGGCTCAATTAGTTAAAAAGTGCAGTACTATGAGGCTAGCCACTGCCACTGCAGCACAAGTTCAATCCCCAGCCAGGGAGCTGACCCACATGGCACAGGGGACCTCTCTTGTCTCTCCCGCTGCTCCCCTCAGCAGTGTACTTTGTCACTCTCTCTGTTCTGCTCCCACTCTGCCTCTGGTGAATCCTCTCATTTACCCTATACTTCTGGCCTGTACTCTAATTCTGTAGGCATAAATAAATAAATAAATAAATCTTTTGCTTCCCTGTAAGTTTCTATCATGACTATTGTCCTTTTAGATTATCAGAAGAAGCAAACCAGAAAAAGAGAACTCAATCCCTAATCTAACCTCAGTTTTCTAAAGAGGAATTTCTCCATACCTGCTTCATTTTTTCCTCTAATATTCAAAAGACCCAAAGGATCATCTGTATTCTTACCTTTCGATGCTGCAGGAGCAAAGCACCAGACAGGAGAAAACACCAGATATTGGAAGTAAATGAAAGAAAGAAAAGGAATCACACATAATTAATTATTGTAGGCAGCCAGTTACCTGGTCACCTGACCTCCCTCTGTCCAACCCATCAATTAAGTGCTTAGGTCTGGAGATGGCACTTTCTCAGTGCCAAGTTCATTCAAGAGTATCATCAAAATGGTGCTGAATGAGCTTTATCACCTTAATCAGCATTTCCACAAGTGATACTGACATAAAATACCAAAATACCTACATGCACAAAAAGCAAACAAAAAAGCTCCATAAAAATTAGGTGGGGGGAACCCTACATACCAGTTTTCTTTCTCAAATCCATCCTCAGAATACAAAAATATCTAATTTCCTTCCACATGAGAAAACCCTTCTCTCTTCCACCCTCACCCAGGGAAGAGAACCATATGAGGAAATCCACGTGTATGTGTTCTATGTCTTACACTGGGCCTGTGTATGAAAGAGGAAACTACTCACTCTTGGTCTGAGCAGAGAAGATAAGGGTAAGTTTGGCAAAAAGATCATTGTTCTCAAATCGGTCCTCCTTCACCTTTGTCCAGAAGCAGTCCTGGGAAAGGTCCTCTGCAACAAACTGTGGACATAGGCAGAGTGTTAAGAGTTACTAAACTGAGTTCTGTTATTCCATCCTAGAAAATGCACTAAGGTTAGAGAGATATATTGTATGAAATGAATCAGAATACAATTAGCTAGAGACAGAGGACAGCTGAGCTGTTCATGGGAGGATCAGGAGGTGCTGCTTCCAGCTTAATTGTTTATAGGTAAAATTTTTCAAGAACTAGATTCAATTATGTTAGCTATCCTCCTAACCTCAAATCCTCTACTTTTAGAAACATTAAGGCTTTAATTTACATATCCTCATGTTCTATTACATTTTCCTCCATCAACTAGGCTAAACAGTGCCAAATTATCCATTTTATGAACAAATCCCTAAGCTCCCTTTATGTTAGTTTGGCTTCAGGAAGTAAAAGGCTGTCACAAAACTATAATGGTTTCAAACACAAGTGGGAACAATAATGATGGCCTGTATGACCCATCCATGACTTTTTGAACAGCATAAATGTCATCATTATAAAGTGATTATTATCAACATGAGCTGTCAGAGTATACATGACCTCAGAGAAAAGAAAAGGTAAACACACAACAATTTAAGGATAAATTTAGGTCTTACAGCAGAGAACTGCTCAAAGAACTGTCTGTGGAGATGCCTATAATATATAGAATATGCCCATTAACTACTGAGTAACATAAGCATGAGTGGGACTTGATACATGATACATATGAGACTTATGAAAAGGAAGCCCACTCATGCCAAAATACAAAATAGGAAACTGGGGCCTTCCCCGGTGGCACAACAGGTTAAAGCACAGCACTATGAAGCTAGCCTCAGCCACTGCTGCAGTAGTTCAATCCTTGGCCAGGGAGCTGACCCACATGATATGGCAGACCTCTATCTCACTCACCCACTGCTCCCTTCAGCTGTGTATTTCATCAATCTGCCTCTGCTCCCCACTCTGTCTCTGGTGAATCTTCTCACCACCCCTACACCTCTGGCCTGTACCCCAGTTCTGTACGCATAAGTAAATAAATCTTTAAAAAGCCTGAAAAAATGGACAGAAACACTCACCTTGGACCAGTTTGGCCTCCGGAGCTGCACCTCTGGCTTATAAAGCTTCTTTGGGGCTAGTCCATATGGCAGAACTGGGGCTCCAAATCCAAGAGGCGGAGGGGGAGGCATACCCATTCCAGGTGGAGGTGGAGGAATGCCAGGTCCTCCAAGAAATGGGGGGGGAGGAGGGATTCCAGAGCTACTGGGAAGAAGTATTCCTCCAGGCAGGGGTGGGGGAGGAGGGATAGCAGAACCTCCAGGCAGGGGTGGGGGAGGAGGGATAGCAGAACCTCCAGGCA